TTTAACAAATCAAAGCTTGGCCCTTAATGATAATTCACTTATTTAAAGGAGCAGACTACCCGTCTGGCTTTGAATCAGCATGACCATCTGCCCCATTGGTGTGAAACCGCATGGGATTTACTGTGTTGAATTTACTACTTAAGTAGCTTGGTTTGAATTGTCCCGCACATCATTAGAGAGGTTGAGATACAAAGAGAAGACTTGGTGTGTGCGACTTGTAATCTGACTAAACATGTTGTGTTTTTGACTAATTCTCTTGCACTGTAAAAGGAAAGACTTTGCTGCTGTAGCAGGTGAGAACAGTTCATCAGTAATATGAGAACAGTAAGTTTTAAAACTCTTGCCATGTGATTGTAGCTAACAGTTTGTGTCAGTGGTTTGTTGGTTTGATTACCGGTTGAATGTGAGCATGCACGGCTGATTCTGTGAGCCGGTGTCCTCTACATAAAAACAGATTTTAAATGAACCAAAAAGGCAAGTGCTTGTTGATATGGCATTCACCTCACACCTTCATTCATGTGGTGTCCGGTCTTCATACTGGGGATGGACCTTTGGTAGCTTTTGATCAAATCTGTATCCATTTCTGAATCCACTTATCACATATATAGCCTTTCTAAACCCCTGCCCACATTCTTTATTGGTAATTTGTTTGGAGGGGAATGATGACATGTCTTAGTCTCATGCCTGTGCTGACCGGGTGTAGGGCTTTAGCTGTGTATTTAGTCTCTGCTCTCTGACATTCATTAACCCTGTCTGTATTTGTTTTCCCTCTTGCACCCAGGGCGAACAGCATTTGTGCTTCACTCAGGGCCTGTGGTGTAGCTGCAGAAGTAAAAGCAACACAATGGAAATAAAACTGATTTTATCATTCAGCAAATATTGACTCAAATCACTTTTCCTGAAACTGATGTCATTGCTACCGAGCACAGAACCTGACAGGTCGCAAATTACAGTGTTGCGTTTGATTACACCGAGGCAGCGCACTCGTCCTTCTCAAGTTATCAGAAATGCTACACGTTCTTAGAGATGAATACTTACACATGGATGTGTCCTGAATCCCTCCCACAAACACTGGCTCTGGTAGTTGTTTGAATGACTAGGGTAAAGTGAATCCACACTTTTGAAAGAGATCTGTAGTGTTCACTGTGTCAGTGTTGATGCTTTTGGAGCCCGTTCCAAAGACATACGTGTGGTTATTCCTACCTAATGTTGCAGCTTACTTGGCAGCTGTCTGTCTTGGCCAAATCATAACAATATATCCTAATATCACGATCCTAATATGAGATTAAAACATTCTGATTTTAAACTTAAAAGCAGCATTAGCTGGAATGTAAACCTGTAACTTGTTCTTGGACAGGACACCATTGAATCAGAGGGAAGACTGACCTCAGTTTGTTTACTACCTCATGCAACAGTTGTCTTTCTCATCCACCTGTCTCACTGACCTCTCTCTCTCTCTCTCCCTCCCTCTTCACACCTCTCATCTCCTTTCATCTTCACCCCCCATCCAGGAGGACAGTGAGAGATACTCACGTTCTTCACAGATGCGCACGGTGTGTAGCCTCCCTCTGTTTCTGCCTTCCCATGGTCCTTCCTGTATAATCTTGTCTTCCACCACTTGAAACATGTTGATGTACATGAAAATGGCAAGCTAGGAAGAGGACAGGAGGAGTCTGAGAATCCAAGCTTCAGGTTGACAGATTCAGCAGCAGGTTGTCATAACTATACAGTGAGGGTGTATATCATAGAGGCTCCTTTATTCAGAGAAGACTTACGTAAGCAACATTTTTATTTTATTGCATCACATCATTGCAAAGTGCTCTTTCTTTCCTGATGTGTTCTCAGTTCAGTTTGGTCTTGCTCAAACCATTTATTGTGAAACAGCGGTAGGAAGTGTTGAGTTCCACTGACTGAAGTGATTAGAATACAAACAGAGTACCTATTGTAAGAGGGATAATGCTGAAGAAAAGGCAAAAGATCACTGCAAAATGTATTGCCTTCTATATCTTTGTAATACAGGTAAATTGTTTTAATCTGGCCTTTATTTTTAGCTAGTCAGGCTATCGGACTTGTTCTTTGAATCTCAGCTTTTTAAAGATCTTTTGTTCTTAAGTGCATGATGTCAATAAAAACAGAGATCACATATAAGATTCGTAGAACAAACCACTGCTGGTTGAACATCTTTGGATAACTCACTCTTTGGTGTCACTGTTGAACTAAATCATACATTGTCTGGCCTCAAAGCCCTAACCATCCATTTCAATCTGTCGTTCCCTCACACAGTTCTCAGACGACGACGAGCGGATGTCGGTGGGAAGCCGGGGCAGTGTCAGGGTCCGTATCACTCAGACAGCACATGCAATAAAAATCCCTAACCCTTTGTTCCTTTCAGTCAGTATCAGATACCTTATGCTGTTTGATTCACAAAGAATAGACCTTGTGCCCTTGAACCTTTGGTGATGTGGAGGCCGTGCATGTGTCCTTGATAACTTAACAAGGTGCTGTCACTGTGTGTGGCACTCAGTGGTAGCGATGTAGTGCCGGATCTTGATGCAGCCGGGGCTTTTGGCGGATGGGTGAGGCCTGATGTGACTTGGAAGTGTAGATCACGGATTAATTTTTAACTCCTCGACATTGTTGTGCATAGATTTGTTTGTTTGTTTGACTAACAGGGTCTACCTTTATACAGTAATTTGTGAATATAGTGGGTTTCATGCAAGAGTCATTCATTGTTTTTGTTTTATAATTTTATAATAACTTTATAGTTTGAATGTATTACCAGTGAAGTTTTGTTGACTTGAATGACCTGTTATGTACATTAATGTGGACTAATTTAGTGAGTTTCATGTAATTCTGCCCAGAGATGATGCTGGATTATGCAGCTTGTTTACTTTGTGCTATGTAATTGTGGAAAAATCCTTCCTGCTTACGGCGATGGACCTTCTAGATCTTGGCTGAATCAGTTTTTGTTTTGTTATTTGCATGTAAATACACTGACCTTTTAGTATGGTTTTCACCACTGTGAAAAGTCCATTGTGCATGTGTTGCTTTCCCATCAGACATAAGACATGCAGGTTAAGTTCATCGGTGACTCTGCCTGTAGGTGTGAATGTGCGTGTGTGTGGTTGTCGTCTTAGTGTCAGCATTGTAATAGACTGGTGACCTGCTCTAGATGGCGTGTTCTCACACCTCATGGTTCTCCCTGTCTGTCTTCACTCTCAGGGCTCACATAAGAAGTCAAAGAAAAAGAAGAAATATAAAGACAAAGATGTACGTAAAGGCTCAAACTGCACACGTGGCCTTCACAGAAATGGCATCAGCGTTTCTCACTTGTGTTCTTTATTTACAGAGGAATGGCTGTGATGATGATTACAGTGTTATGTCCAGCAGGGTTAGTACTGTAGCTGCTTTGTAATCACTGTACAGACACTTGTATTTGCTCTGTTGTGTTAATTGCATGATAACTGTAGGAGAAGGAAAGTTACACACAAGCTGCATCCCATCACCCATGATTCTCCTTTCTCTCTCATGCTGTCAGTGCTCAAAACTCAGTGATGAAAGCAGAGTGTCTCGCTCCTCCAGGCTAGACCTCACGGTGCGTGTTGGTCCCCTCTGATCATACTACTGAGCAGCTCTGTACTTTTTGTCTGGTGAACTAACAGTAAACTGTGTTCTCTTGACACCATAGTGCAGCATGGAGTTTTGGCTGAAGAGTTTTATTGTTTTGATGCAATCTGCAGTAAGCAGAACCAAAAATGAGATTTTTGTATAACCTACTTGGCGGCTTTGGGTTGTGTGTTTGTGGCCAGGCTCTAACAGGATATCAATGATGCAAGAATGTGTGCAAGAACAAAGCAGAGAGGAAAATGTTCTGTAAATTCTATGGCTTATTGCTGCCTGTGGAAGGCAGCAATAAGCTGTGGACAGAGCCTGCTTGACTTGAAACATGATGAAGAACTGGCAACTTTAAATGATGAAAAATAAATAAATGGCAGTGGCACATAATTTAAACCTGCTTCTCTCATTTAACCAGGTCATTTCTGCCTCCAGCACAAGTGTTGACTAAACCCCTAAGTAACTTATTTTTTAAACCCATCATTTAAATCATTAGCCTCCAGACTAATAGCTACGTATCAGTATAACAGCATGTTGTGTGTTACAAAGTGAAAGTCTGATGTTGGAACCCAGCTTTGTGCTGGCAGAGGGATGTGGTGAACCTAGTTGTTGTGCTGGTTTGATGATGTTGACTGTGCTCCCTGATTCTCAGAGCTCCAGATTGAGTGATGACAGCCGACCTTCTCGTGCGTCCAGATTAGACCTGCAGCCGGTGGGTGGCACTGCACTGCAGACAGTTTGTTTCTCATCCCGTGTCTCATGAACACACTGAGTTGAACTGTAGCCTGTGAACCTTTTTTTATAAACAGGCACGTAATGATTTCTAATCAAGGCACTCTGTGTTTTACTAAACAATGCAGTACATTTATCTGCATGTATTGGTTTCTACAGAGGCTCCTCAGTGATGTGGTTTCTTTGTGCTGAATTCCCCAGAGATGCAGTTTAAATGACTGTGTTTGGAGCTCAAAGTGCGGCCATCTTTTCTGTCTCAGTTTGTACTTTTTGTCAGCATGCTGGCTGCCTTTGTTTTCTGTATTAAAACCAAGCAGCACTCGTGACTTCCACTACCAAATGTGTTTGCACCATTTGATGAAGACATTGCTAAAAGGTGCAAGATACACTTTTGATGAAGAGTTGGATGATTTTTCTGAACTTCCCATCCTTTGTCTTTACTCCCATCTTCCTCCTTATATTTACTAATTACTTTTGCTTCCGCATTCCCTTCTCCTCATTTCAGGCTTCTTATGCTTCCTCGGACTTGTACGGTCTCAACGGCCTGTCCACCACAAGAAACCCAGTTTCAGCTTTCAATGGTTACCAGGTCTGTGTACGGAAAGTTGCACATTAACATGTAAACATTTGACAAACCTTGGCTGCTACTCTGGTTTGGCTTTAACTGTTTACCCTCTTTGAAGGGGACAAAAGAAAACAGAATTTAAAGTACTTAGTTCAATCTATATTTATTTGCCTGTGATCTCTCTCTTGCAAATGCCTTTTTCTTCCCACGTCATCTCTTCTTGCAGTTCTACAGGTCACTCAGTCCGAACCCCCAGCAGCTCTATCATAGGGTTGGTTCAATTCACCTCTAGCTTACTTTTTAACCTCTTACACCTTGTGTTAACCGACACAGTGTGTTTATTCATTCACACCAGTGTTACTGTGAACGCAAAAGATTGAGCTTGTTTGTCTCCAGAGCAAAGAATTTGATCATTAATTTAAGGGCTTCTAGTATAATGCTTCATCAGTTTTAATTTCGCTCATCAAGGACATCAGTCACGGCAAACTGCTTTATATTTGAGGTTTGAATTGAGCCACATTTCAGGCACTGCAGGAAGGCTCAGGTTTTTCATCACAGAGTAGAAATGCATGTAATAATATCTGCCTCAGAGAAATAGTACCTATTCACACTGCTGAAGCGTGAGCATACTGCTTGTACTGTATGTGTGTGACATGTCATGTGTAGAGTTCCTTGTATGAAGACGGTCTCTGCAGTGGATCACGGCGAGTCGCTGGCTCCAGCTCCCATGTAAGGATGAGTTGGTTTGACACCATGAGGGTGACCTGGATGAGTGTGATCTTGCATTGTAAGCTGTTTCTGAATTCAAAATACTAACACTCATTTAACAGAAGAGTGCATATAAATAAGTGTGAACATGAGTGTGCTGTGACATGTTTGGCTGTGTGACTACCATCAGTTTGAGGTGGCTATTGTTTGTCAAGTTAGAAGGGCCTTCCATGAATCTGTAGTGGCTTTAATAAGCGAGTGATTTTCTGCTACTGCATGGGGAAAGTTGTGACTGAATTCTAATTCCAGTTCAAAACAAAATTTGTGTGAGGACTTTGAATGTGGATAGAATCTAGATATGCATTATGCACTAAGCTAACAGTGAATTGGAGTGTAAACTGTGGCATCACTTAACCCACCTAAACGCGTTTTGTTTAAGCATGTGCATGCGTATTTGTGTTGGACTACACACCTACCCAGAAACCTAACGTTGTTTTCTCTCTGCAGCCTTTAGATTACACTAGCTATCGCAGCTCTGGCTCCAGAACCTCCAGCAGGGCCGGTTCAGCCCGCGCCAGCCCGGTGGTGAGCCCTTATTCCCCAGACACTCTGTTACTCAGTCTGGGGTTTAAATGCATCATATGTGTGCACAGAGCAAAATGCTGAGTCTCCATCTTGCTTCGTCAGTTACACTGGACTATAGCATTTTGATTGGTTCGGTGTCAGACATTAGATGCATCCAGTCTCTGATTAGACTCTTCGTTCTGGGTGTTAGTGTTGCCATGGTTTGCCGAATTTGGCACTGTGAAAACATTTTGTTCTGTGTGCACAGTACAAACTGGTATTTCTTGGTGGACCTGTATAGCACATTGGTTGGAGCGTGTTTATAATTAGTTTTGCTAGTATGTCAGGAATTGAAGCTGAATTCAAGTTAGAAAATTCACATTAATGACTGAAATGTAACTGAAAGTTAATGCTTTTCTATATGTAAGAAAAATAATTTGAGGGGAAAAAATGTTTAGTCTTTTGAGCACTAATGATCATTTGTAAATAATTTTCTATCTTAATGTCCTCATACATTTTCCAGTGATCTTGACTGACGGTGTTGAACTGCTCCTTGAGTTGTGGTTTCTTTGTTGTTGTGTTCTGCCCCCTGGTGACTGATGTAGGACAACTGCAGCTCAGTTGCCAGTTATTTAAGAAGTGCAGCTGGTAGCAGTGGCCTCCGCGGGGACCTGGACAGTGTTACTATTCCTGACTTTTCAGATGTGAGTCGTTTTGCACTTGCCAGAGGCCGAGGCTGTGATGTGAGCAGAGTTCCTGTTTCGTTGCTTTTATTTATTGGTTGATAAAATGTTGTTTCCTTTTTTTGCTGCCTGTTATTTCTTCTGTGCATGTCCCTCTACAAGGAGAGCTGATTGTACACTGTGCTTGTGTCAGAGGTTAATTTACACGTTGACTGAGACTGGACCCTACCAGTGTGTCTTGTATCAAGATGGTTGTGTGTGTCGTGGAGAGTCGAAATTGAGGATGGTGTGATGTTTGAAGTGTTTTGTGTTTTGTTTTTTTTACATAATCTGTTGAATGAATTATGAGCCAATGTATTGGGATATTTATTTCCAAGGGAGTTTTGACAACACCTAATTATTTGCATGGTCTTGTGTATTAAAATAAATGTGCCTTTTTCTTAATATATTCATCAGTAGAAAGAAGACTGGAGGACTTAATATTATTTTGTTTGTTCTCTTTCATTAGGCAGTGTCAAGGTAAATCTTCTTATTGCTGTAGAGCCGCCTGTAGTGACGGTTTAGTTTCCTGCCTTCCCTCCTCGGTTCATCCTCTTGGCCCTGTGGCCTCTGCCGTTCTCTGATTGCTCTGACTGTGTTTTCTTTGTCTCTACAGGTGGAGGACAAAGATTATCTTGAGAAGGTGAGGGAGCCGCTTATCCAAATATTTATTTTATTGTCATTCAACATTCACTAAGTGACATCAGTTAATGGAAAATAATAACCGGAGATCCATGTTTGATTTTATTTTGTGCTTTACAATTTGTTTTAAATTTATAGATATAGTTTTTTCTCTTTCTCAGGGATCTCGAGCTGCTTCTACCTCAACAGGAGCAACCCTCACCTCCTTAGGTGGAACATCCTCCCGGAGAGGAAGCGGAGATACAGCTATATCTGTAGACACTGAGAACTCCATACGAGAAATCAAGGTGAAAACAAAAAATAAAACAGTTCTGTGTCAGAGCAGGAACGGTGCTGTATTCACAGCAGATGAAGGGTAGCACAGGGTGATCCCTCACTGATGAGAAAAAATCTGGATTTCACTGTTTTCTGAGATGTTTGCATCAAACTGACAAATGTGGAAAGAAGTACACAGATTTAAAGGATGTTTTCTTCTTTAAAAACTTATGTTCTGTGTTCATGCTGTTTTCCTTCTTTCTGCAAAACATGTGTTACTATGTTCATTGTTCAGTCACCAACCTTGCTGCTTCACCCTTTCTTGTGCTGCCACACTGTGCTTCTCTGCTCACTGCTGCTGCACTCTTCACCAGGAAATTCATGAGCTGAAGGATCAGATTGAAGATGTGGAAGCCAAGTACACACAGAACCTAAAAGAAGTCAAGGTATAAGCCTGAAACCCCCTCAGAGCTCCAACTCCAGATTCTAGCTAACTAACAGGGTGGCTGTGTATTGAGACCACCTCCACTACATGTCAATTTAACCAGCTGATAGTCTGAAAACTCCAAAAACTTTTGAATTGATTCTGGAATAAACTGAATATTTTGCTGCCCTACCTATAAAACATTTGCCTTGTCGAGACCCTGTTCATGCAGCAGGAGCAATACTGGTGCTCCAGACACGACACCAATATTCACACATACTGTGGTCCTTTTTGAGACTGAAATGCCTGTGTAATGCATTCTTTCTCTTTCATTTCTTCCTGTTTTCTAACCTGTGTGTAAAAATACAAATGGCCAGTTTTAACTAGCAAAGCTGCGCCTGCATTTTGCAGCTGCTGTCTTTCTTCATTTTAGTATGTGTGTTAGTCTGTACATCTTTAAAACTTCACTACTATCATTTCAAATTGTGACAGAGAAGCACACAGGTACAACTTCCATGACGAGTATCCATGATTTACTACAAACATGTAGCTTGTCTATACTATATGACAAAGGAAAGGGAGTCTCTGCAGGTTCTTTTCAAGATGTTTTATCTGAGCCAGCACCTGTTATATTCATATTCTCTTTATTTGATAACATTAGGATGCCTTAGCAGAAGCTGAGGAAAAGTACCGTAAAGCCATGGTGTCCAATGCTCAGCTGGATAATGAGAAGAACAACCTGATGTACCAGGTGGACACACTGAAGGACTCGCTTATGGAGCTGGAGGAGCTGCTGTCTGAGTCACGCCGGGAATATGAGGAGAAAGTCAAGGTACAGCAAACAGAGCAGTCATCGTTGAACCTGAGAGTTTGATAGAATTATGCCAGGTGACAACCCCTTTGTTATCTGGGGTCCCACAGGGCTCAATTTTGGGGCCTCTGCTTTTTTCACTGTATTTACTTCCCCTTGGCTCTATTGTTAGGAAACATGGTGTCTCTTTTCATTGTTATGCTGACGACGTCCAGATTTTTATGCCGTTGAGTAAGGATGACACCTATCAATTCAGCCGCTTCTATCGTGTCTTGATGATATTAGGGGCTGGATGTTGTTAAGTCGTTTAAAGTTAAATGATGCCAAAACCGAAGTTGTAGTGTTTGGCCCGAATACGTCTGATGACCTTCTCCCGGTAGGCTTAGGGTTCTTGGGGCAGTATGTGCGAACAGTGATCACTGACTTAGGTGTTAAAATAGACTCCAACTTGACAATGGAAAGTCAGATAAACTCGGTCGTAAAATCTGTTTTTTTTCTATCTCAGGCAGTTAGTGAAAGTAAAGCCCTTTTTGTTGCGGCAGCATTTTTGAGACGGTGATCCATGCGTTTGTTACATCTCGCATGGATTACTGTAATGTATTGTACTCTGGAGTCAGTCAGTTGTACTCTGGAGTCAGTCAATCGTGTCTTGCCCACCTCCAGAGGATTCAGAATGCTGCCGCTTGGTTATTGGTAGGGGGGCATAAGAGGGACCACATAACTCCAGTTCTGGCATCTCTTCACTGGCTTCCTGTGCGTTTTAGGATTTGTTTTAAGATTCTTTTATTTGTTTATAAGTCCTTGAATGGGCTTGCACCTTCTTATCTTACGGAACTTTTACATCCGTATAATCCGTCGCGGTGCCTTAGATCAGCTGATCAGCTTCTTCTGGAGGCACCAAGGGCCAGGCGGAAAACTAGGGGGGATAGAGCTTTCGCTGTGGTGGGTCCAAATTTGTGGATTGCATTGCCTCTTTATATGAGGCAGGCCCCATTTTTAAGTCATATTTGAAGACCTATTTGTATTCATTGGCGTTTGGACAGGACTGAGACTCTTTCAGATTGAGTAATTCCTTGATTGGACCCAAATGTATGTTTTATTGTTTTTATTTTTATGTTATGATTTTAGATTTATATTGTATGTTAAGCACTTTGGTCAGCTATGGCTGTGGTAAAGCACTATATAAATAAAGGTGAGTTGAGGTGTTATTTACCTGACCAAATTGTAGACGGTGACATGATGACGATTTTTTAATTTCTACTGGGAATCTCTGTGCTCTGAACAGGTTGTCTAAAAATGAATTTTACTGTATCCTGGACTTCTCTTGCCAGTTGTGAATTAATGTTTTGCTTTGCACAAAATAAACACGAGGCAGGCAATGGGTCACACTGAACAGAAGCTGCCTTTGTCTAAAGTTCCATTATGATCACATGGTAATGCACTTAGAGAGACTGAAAACATCCCATTTCAGTTGTTCATGTCTTATACAGGTTACTCTTTGACCGTCAGCTTTGAAGCCTCAGATATTACAGCATCAATATTCAGGACACTTTCCTAGTAGAAGACATGAGAATAAGTGATCAGCTGAAGCTGGTCATGGAACTCATACATGTGTGTTATCATGTCGTGCTCACGCCAAACGACAGCTTAGTCAGATTTTAGTTGGCTCAGTTAATACAACCCAGAGTTAAGGCTTTGTTTTGACTCTGCAACTTCACAAATGCAGTTAAACAGCATTATACAGGTGTTTTCTAGGGAAACCTAATATTGTGTATGTATCTGCCAAATGGGGAGTATAATGTACACAGTGCTGAACAGCTGTTGAATCACACAGACATCACCTTCATCAGCAGTAGAAATGGCTTTCCTGTAATAGTTTTGGTTTAGCTGTTGAATTAGCGGCTGTGTCTCTTGTTCCCCGCAGGAATTTGAGCGAGAGAAACACGCCCACAGTGTGCTTCAGTTCCAGTTCAGTGAAGTGAAAGAGACACTAAAACAAAGTGAAGAGCTGCTAAATGTGAGTATTCGTCTTCACTGTGACTGTGGAACAGAACGCAGCCTCTTCTGGGTTAAAAGATATGTACCAAATAAAATCAGCAAACTGCCTTTTACTCATTTAGAAAAGGTGCATGTTGAGGTGCTTTTCAAAGCTTCTTCCTTTCACCCACTGTACTGTATGCAGTATGCTTGCACTGCATTTCTCTGTTTGCTGTATCTCTTCCTCTCAAACATTTTTCCTTTTCTTGCTGTTTAGGAGAACCGTCAGCTACGTATGAAACAAGATGGTTTTGTTAGAGAAGTCTCTGATCTGCAGGAGACACTGGAGTGGAAGGATAAAAAAATTGGGGTAGAGCCTATGAACCCTGGTTTAGCAGTTTCTTTTATTAACTTGATCACAGTAGCATTTACTTTTACTTGCCTGAATTCAGTTCAGCTACTTTGCTTGAAACTGAACGCCTGCTTTTGCTTTCACCTCTTTTACACAAATTTGTTCCTCTTCTGCACTCTCTGCCACTGGGGGCTGTGCTCAGGCCTTAGAGCGACAGAAAGAATACACAGATGCCATCCGAATTGAGCGAGATGAGCTCAGAGAAGAGGTGGTGAAGGTGAAAGACATTCTCAAGGTACTCAGGCAGTGTGGGCCGTGTTAATGTCTCATATTGCTGTCTGAAGTGTGGAAAAAAGTTTTGAATATATTAATAACATGATAATTCTGCCTTGAAAAGAAACTGTGATGGTTCAATGAATTAAAAAAAAAAAGTGATTTTATACATCATCTTTCTTCATCAAAGCCAAACATTCAGAGTTTATATTGGAACCTATTTTCAAGTTGTGATCTCTGACTTTGTTTAGAAACATGGTATAGTGTTGGGACCCGATCTGAACATCAATGGAGACATTGGTGAGGCAGAAGTCGATGGGCCCCCCAGTGGAGACTCTGCCCCCAGCCCGGCTCAAGAGTCACTGACCTCCCCAACTGAAGGGAACAGCATCCTTGGTAAAACACACTGTGGAATCAAATCTTTAGAGCTTGGCTTGGCATAAGACTAACTGAAGATGGTCATTCCAAAGTGTTTGAGTAGTGATAAGACAGAAACTTCAGTCTGTGTTAGTGAGTAGCTTAACAATTAGCATATCAATTTTCAAATAACTAATTTTGGGGTGAACTCTTCAGTTCCTCGATCTGTGCTCCTGGAAGGTTGTTACTTTAACTCATTGCACTGATTTTAAAGGATGGTGGTTGTCTATATTTTCTTGCTATTGAAAGGTCATTTTTGAACCTGGGTGCCTTTAGTAGCTGGTTTTAGATATCACCTCTTAAGCCAACATGAATGAGAAGTCTTAGTGCCCAGAACAATGACTAGAACTAGACGACCTCTGCAGAGAAAGGTTGTCATACACAATAAGTGAAAGATTCAGGACAGTTATAAACTGGACCCTGTAGTAAGATTGTCTTATCAGCTATTTTTCAATTTGTAAAAACGTCCCATGAGAAGACTAAAACAACAATAATGTAACCTACATAAAAGAAGTATGTGTTTAGCCACAGGCTGATCTGTCCGGTTTCTCTGTGGCATAGAGCTGCCTTGTTGTTTAAGAACTATGAAAACAACACAGGGAGCCACACTGTGGCACTGGGTGGCCTGTTGGGTCATTAATAAACACATATGCTGTCTTTTACTTTTGAGTCGGCTCCACAAACACCGTCCTGATGTTGCAAATACTCGCTAGAGCTCTAAATGTGCATCAACCTGCAGCTGAAAATAGACCCCAACAAATGTTTACTCTTGTTTGAGTGATGTTAGCTAAAATGGTATGTACGCAACTTGTTTTTAGGAATTTACTGAGCCTTAAAAAAAGTAGTTGGCCAATCTTTAGTACAAACCAGTGGGCCAATGAAGTTGTAAAGAGAGATTGGACCAATTAATGCATTTTCATGGAAAAACTAGTTGAGGAACAACAAGAAAAATATCGAGAATCACCAGCCTTGTCCTGAAATTAACATCTTGCTTCCCTCTAGAAACTAACATTCCACTGATAGACTTGTCTTCATTACTTATGTTTGTGCTTTGTTTCTCTTGCACCTTTTCTAATCATTTTGTTCTGAATCCAACTAACTTTTGGTGTGTGAGTGCTCACAGGTGTCTAGTGGCATACTGACAGGGTTGGATGGTATTAATCAGCTTTATTTTTTAAAGAAACAAGTCAGTGATGTGTAGAGAAGATTTGTTTGGATTGTTGTATATATATACTGGTGTCTATATCCTTGTGTTGCTGGTGTCAGTCTTTTTTTTTTTCCTTGTCTTGATGTGCTGGGGATGAAGGATTTCTTTTCGGTGTTTCTCCTGAATTTCTTCTTCTTCTTCTTCTTGTCCGTCATGTGCTTCTCTTGATCATCTTGGCTCTGCGCTTCCCTTTCTGGCCACTGAATCAATGAGGCGTTCTGCCTTACCTCGACTTCTGCTGATGCACTTCCTGATAAAGATTATGCTTTAAAAAAAACATGTCTTACATTTTTGGTCTTTTATCACCGTATCCTCTCCATGATCTCTCAGGCAGCACAGAGAAGAATCAGTTGAGAAGTAGCAGAGAGGAAGACATGGACCCAGGGCAGCATGAAGAAATGCTGAATGAGGAAACTAGTGAGAATCACTTGAGCTCTGATGTGCTCTGTAATGCTGGTGATGTGAACACACTGGAAACACCTAGCAAAGAACAACCTACAGAAGAACAACAGACATGCTTATCCACAGAGGAAGATGGTGTTGGTGAAAATGGGCTCAACAAGGACTTAAATGTTTCTATTAATGACCATTCAGTCACAGAATCTAAAGATGTAATCATTTGTAGCCCAGAGGAAAGTGCTCTAGAAACAGAAACACATGGTGGGGGAGATTCAGGAGAGACAAGTAACCCAGATTTAGGGGAGACAGAAACCAAAAGCAGCAGTGTTGATATTGTAGAGTCATGTAACAAGGTTTTTGAAGAGCAAGAAAACAAAGAGGAAGACACTGAGGAAAGTAAACTGAGGAATACAGAATCATGTCATCAGCAAAAAGTCATAGAAGATGTTAGGAAAGAAAATTTACCTGATGGGTCCATTTCAGCTGTATCAAACACTGAACCTCAACAAGAGCCTGAGAATGCTGAAGAGGCAGAGAACGATGAGACAGAGGAATTATCCAGTAAAACTCAGCCTCAGGGTGCTCCTACTTCAGGCAAAAAGAAGAAAAAGAAGAAGAGAAGCAAAAAGAAAGGAGGGACTCATGAGGATAAGAACCAACAAAAACATGGAACAGAGAAAGAAAGCAAAACAGAAGAAGGCATACAGTCAGCTAAAAGAGGTAATGGGTCAGCAACAGAACCCAAAACTGATGGTTCTGTCAGTGAAACCTTCAAGGAATCAAAGATGGATCAAATTAGCAATGAGCAGGGGGTGAAGGGAACTGAGAAAATAGATGCAGTAGAAGCAGTGGAGCCCACTGAAACTTTTCTACACAAAGAAGTAAGAATGGATCATGTTACAAATGAGCGGGACAAGGAACAAAGTTTAGAAGCTGAGAAACAGACACCCACTGAGACCCTTTGTCACATTGAATCTAGAGATGAACCCACCAAGGATAGACAGGGCAAAGAAGAAACTTTGGAAAGCGAGAAAGTAGAAGAAATGGAATCTGTGACAAGTCCTTGCGAGGCCAGTGTCAGTATGCCTGATCTTACTGACACCTCCAACAGTACTGAGAGCACTGGCTTTGACAAATTACACAACTCTAAAAGTGGGGACATCTCCGCTAATAGTGAAGACATCCATAGTGAGTCACAAATAGTTTATCACAGAGAAGATGAAGTTGGGTCTGATGATGAGTTGAAACCTGAATTCACATCTAACCCAGAGAGCAGCCTTGAAACAAATGGTAAAGAAGACATTGAAGCTGAATCACATCTTCCAAGCAACTGTGATGTTGCTGCTGATGAATCCGAGTCCACAAACCGTTCTGAGAGGAAGGATGACATATCAGTCTTGCCGCCATTTACTTATGATTTCAGTCTTGATCTCAAAAGCTCGTCTGTCTCAGAGCCACCATCAGAGCCATATGTACCCAGGAAATCACTTGGCAACGACATCCTCATCAAAGTTTCTGATGTAAGATCTGAGGAGGAGGCTGCTGGAGATGATGAGGAGCCAAGAACTGTGACTGAGCAACTTTGCTTTTCTCCCAGTGTCACCTCCCCAAGTCATGATGATTATTCAGAGCTAAAACAAGACAGCTCCTCCTTTTCTGTTCTTACTGGAAACTTAAGGGAATCTGAAGATTTTGTCAAGACAGATGGCTCCTCATACGATGAACAACGTGACAGTCTGTGTCCTTTGGAGACTGTAGCTCAAGCTGAACAACTGGAGGATATGGCAATCCAGACATTAGTGTGTGTGGATTTTAATGATGACTCAAACATGAAAGTGTCTTGGCAAATAGAAGCGATCAAAACCACTGACATGTTAAACATGCCAGACTCTCCAAAAGAAGCTGTTGAGATTGGTTCTTCGGTCAAGTGGGAATCAGCTGTTGCAAAAGATCCAGAACATAAAACCAGTCCAGATGATAAGGAAAGTGAGACATCTCTCTGTCCTTTGGCTGAGCAACTGCAGGAATCCAGCAAAGACGAGTCTGAGGATAATGCTGTATCTCAACCCAACCAACGCAACAGCGATGAAGAGGATGGTGACGATGAGGAAGGGCAGTCTTTTGATTTTGATGACATGGATATGGAAGCAGCTATAGCAACAAGTCTCCCAAAAAATCCAGATCAGGAAATTGTGGAGGAAGGAGCTGAAGTCATATCAGACCAAAGTACTGAGACAAATAAAAATATGCAAGACAGGCCGGTTGAAAGCAGTGACGAGAAGCGTACGGTTGGTGAGGATAACCAGGAAGCTACACCGCATAAAGAATCGGATAATACTCCTCAAGGCAACAACAACTCTTCTCATGAGGAAGCCATGTCTGCACAGGAGGAGGATGTGGAAAATGTGTGTGAAGAGCAGGTAAACACACCGAAAGAAGAAATGTGTATAGCAGATGAGGCAAGGGACGTTACAGAGGAAGGAAAGGTTTTGATTGCTGGAGAGTTAGGTGATGTTGCAGAGGACATTAACCAGGCAACATCTGAACCAGTAGAGGAAGAATTGGATGCAATTAAGCATGAGGTGCAGGGTGAAGCCTTGGTTTTACCAAAGAGTGCAGACCAAGTGGGCAGCAGCACAGAGCCACCACAGTCAGGGAAGGATGTGAAGAAGAATGGTAAGAAAGGCAAAGGCAAAGAGGACTGTAAGATGTCATAGTTCACCAGCAGTACAGCAGATCATATAATGCACAGTATAAAGATTTATTTGATCTTCCTTTCGCTAGTTTTTGCTTGGCTCTTTACAAAGCGGTAATGGATGTGCAGAACCTCACAGTTCTGTGACATGAACATTAGTGTAAGTGTATATATATATATTTTAAATCTGTATTACTAGTCCAAGGTCAAAACATCAGTTTTCATTGAGACAGTATGTGCAAAAAAAAAATTGGTTTGTGGCGATCTGAGAATGTAAACTCGCTAACTGCAGGCTTTACTATCGACAGTACAATACCTGAGACATCAGGTGACAGATTTTTAGTTATTGATGCACAGTTGTCATGCTGCTTATGTTTCCTGGATAGTATTTCTCTGCAGCATTATCACATCTGTTATGCAATATGCATTTCCAGGAACGTGTTCATGTATTCATGTTATAGGTGTACAATAAAAACACAAATGTTAATTGGTAATTTTTTTATTGGGTCTATTGTGAAGTAGCTTTTACAGTACATGTTAAGATAGTTCTGCTATACCTGTGGTTGTGAAAGTTAAAACATGCTCAAACCGTTTTGTTCACAGGAATGAATGTCTCTTGTTTGACTTAAACATTGTCATTACCATCCACAAGGACTCTGATATCTAAAGCACAAAAAATAAATGTATGTTTGCATTTTGTTGCACTTACTGGAAAAGATGAATGTGGTGCCTCCCTTGTTAAATGCCAATAAACACCCTCCTGTTGCCAGTTCCAAATGTTTGATTTAAATGCATTTCTGTTATGAAATTCCATGGGGACATGATAAATGCAATCTGTCAGCTCTTGGCAGGAAATGTTAGAACCATGTTTTTCATTCAGCACATTCACTTTGAGATGCCCAAATCAGCACATTGTGTGAGCGTCATCCTAGAAGCTGTGCTCTCTTGCATTGATCCTCCTCGTTGCAGTTTGTGCATGTTAGCATCCCCCCTCACACCTCCACACCATCACTTACCCATGGATGCCCATTCTGTTGCATGCAACGGCCTCCCACCCTGACCCAGCCCCCCGCCCCTCCCACCATCTCCTTGGCTCCTCCCATCCCTGGTATGTTAACTTAGTTTTTCTTTTTACAGCTGCTGTTGTACTATGGCATTGTGATGCATGACACTTCATAGTGAATTCTTTATGCGACAAAGATGTGAATTGAGCTTTTCTGAGACATGAACTGTCTTCTCAATCACATTTTATCTTTTAGAGATTCGCCTGAGGAAACTTGTGGATGAGCGTGAAAAAATGATAGAGCAGGTGAGTCAATGTGGCAAGTTTTAGTTTACTGCTGCTTTAACAGTAGTCCCCAAGTAAAAATTGAAATATCAGAAGCAAAGTTGTGAGCCAAAAGGGAGCTTACTGGCTGACATGACATGTTCTTTTGTAACCATGGATGTAAGCATTAATTTATTTTGAGTCATTCCTAAATAGAAAACATCACTGTTGTAAATACCCAACACCAAATGTGTATTCATCCGCAGCTGAAAATACTCCCCAGCAAATGTACTTTGGTCCTGTTTGTGTATGTCTGATTAAAAACCACAATGCCCAGCTGCTTTATGTATTTACTCCTTTCTTGAAACTACATATTTGTGATCTGTTTTTAAAGCTGCTCAGATAAATCCTGCTGGCCACTACCTGTTCAACAGCAGGTGAAGTTAACAGCCAGCAACTGAAAGATCTTTTTCTCAGGAGCTGGTTGAAACCATAACGGAGCCAGAAGAAGAGTGAATATTTGATGTCAAGGCACTAAAGCAGAAATCCAAATGAATGCTAGTTTTGTTGCGCGTCTGCTGCAGGTGTAAATAAGCAATTGTTTGCCAACTTGCTAGCAATGTAATATGCAATTATTGAGAGATAGGATTATTTAAAAGATTTCTGGTGTCACCTATTTATGACGAATAAAATGAGGGGGCCAGCATCATGTGTGTGTTATCAGTGAGCTGATTTTACAACTCCATTAACAGATAAAGAAACTAAAGGACCAACTGGAGCAAAAGACACAGAGTGGCACGCAGAGCGCTTCAAGTCCAGACAGTGAAATAGTTGAAAACGGCAATGATCCCAACATAATGGAGCTACAGAGTAAGTGTACACACAGCATGCTCATCAACAGATTGGTTGCATTGCTCTACTTGAGCATGCCCTCTAGCTCAACAATGCTTTTACTTGAGCATGCCCTCTAGCTCAACAATGGTTGCTTTTGCTCTTGTCAGGAGATTCCAACAGGCAAATAAGTGACTTGAAGTTTAAACTGGTGAAGGCAGAACAAGACGCCACTGCTTTAGAACAAAACGTAAGCCACAGAATCATGAATTCATAGGGTTGCTTGAAAACTTAATATTCTCAATCAAGAAGTCTATTGTTTGGTCTTCAGGTGACCAGACTGGAGGGTCAGGTGACACGCTACAAGTCTGCAGCAGAGAATGCAGAGAAAGTGGAGGATGAGCTAAAAGCAGAGAAAAGGAAACTACAGCGAGAGGTAGGATGTGTTTTCTCACAATGCCTGATTAGGAGCTAGCCTGTTTCACAAGTTAATTTTAATTAGAAATCGTTTCTCTGTATCGATTTCACCCAACAGTTGCGGTCAGCTCTGGACAAGGTCGATGAACTTGAGTCAAACAACAGCCACCTATCAAAAAGACTGGAGAAGATGAAGTCATGTCGTGGCATGGCACAAACACCATAGCAGCGCCCCACCCTTGCACATCAGCTCCATCTTGTCTATGTCCAAAACCAACTGATCCCATGGAAATGGCACCATGCATTCTGGGTTTCTCTTTCATCTGCCTGATAGCAACAATTAGAAAAAGAATAAAATCTGTTTTCTGTCTAAAGATCTATGCTTTATGCACATACCCACAAAGTACATGAAGTGGGGGAGCGGATGTGTGTGTGCGCTTCATGACTGCTGAACTTGTGCACTACTCTGCTTTGGGGGGATTGCGCCACATAGAGGGCCCTGAGACTTGAACATCACCACCTCAGATGGATTCACCAGTCACTTGCTTTGCTCACGTGGATCACAGAGAAATTCAAGAATAGACAGGTGACAGTGCAGTGAACAGTACCGATGTTCATGGCCCAAGACTGTTAAACCTTTAGTGGATGCCAGTGCTTTGTGTGTGTGTTGTGAATGAAAAGTGTATTTTCCTTGTATGACCTTTGCATCCAAAGCCAAACTATTGTTAACAATGTAAATGTTTGGGGGTCAGTCCACATATTGTGTTAAAACTGAGCAGGGGAAAAGGGCTTGCTCCACTTTTACAGGCCCACAGTCAACTGTAGTTCCGTTATGTAGCAAGCAGTTGTACAGGTTATTGAATGTTGAACAGTTTCACCTACAGAGAGTAACCACCCTTCTATCAGATACTAATATCTCCAGGCTTCTTTCTGCTCCATATGGTCAGTCACTGGTTGGCTCTTGTGCACACACTTAAATGCTGAGATTTACACATGAAACGTGACAACGGGGACTCAAAGATGTTAGGAGACACTGAACACTGGGGAGATGTTGCTTCACCGTTTACAAAGCTTTAACAAGGAAACAAAGATCTGTAATCTTTGTGCAATAAAATTTCAAATCATGTGGCATCTGTGCGTGTGCATTATAGTCATGGACACAAGTCGTTTCCCCGTATACCATGTGAAGGTTTTCAGCTCAGCGTCTTTTATTAGGGCCATAGTGGCTACGTTGGGCTACATGTGATAGTTAATTCTTGTCCTTTGGAAAAGCAGTTTGGAAAGCTCTGGAACAAGACCTCGACTTGAAGTTGTCAGCGTCTTTAGTTGATAGAATCAGAATCAGAATCAGCTTTATTGGCCAGGTGTGTCGGACGCACGAGGAATTTGACTCTGGTACATCGGCTCTCAATGTGTATGTGCGTATCCCCATGCAAGGGGCAAGTAAACAGTAAACCAGCATAAGGCTGTGTAATATAACAAGATAAGCAGTATTAACAGCAACAACCAGTGCAAACAATGCAAAATAAGTATAAACAGGCAGTAAACAATGCAGACAGAAGAATGCTCATTGTGGCATCAAATTCAAATCAAATTTTATTTGTATAGCACCAAATCACAGCAAAAGTCATCTCAGGACACTTTACAAAGTAAGGTCTAGACCTTACTGTTATCAATATTATTACAGATGGAAAACCCAACAAATGGGATAACTAGGAATAAAACAGTGTACTTAAAAAATAGAGACCTGTATGGATCTGTGTAATCTGTACAATGTACATTTACAGGTATTGCACTGAGGGTTATTGTCTAATCATACTGTCGTGGGTCAAGTGTTCATCAGAGCGACAGCCTGGTGGAAGAAACTGTCCCTGTGCCTGGTTGTCTTGGTGCACAGTGACCTGTAACGCTGTCCAGAGGGGAGGAGTTCAAACAGAAGTTCAATATTTTGTCAGCTTCTCATAATGTAAAAAGATCGTTTTAATGAGCCTTTCCACATTTAAAGGCGGTATATTTTCTCATTTCTTGATTCCATATTATTCAGTTTTCAGAATAAATGTGTGATAAGACCACTTTATTTGCTGTAGTTTGCAAACAAATGATTTCTAGCAAGAAAGCTTTCTTTGTAAAAATAAAATAACTTGGCTTCTAATAAAAGTTGTAGTAACATGAAAAACGGCCTGTCAGCATATGGATAAAACAAATCCACATTATAATGTGAGAGAATATTTGTTATGTGACAGTAATACACTAAATCATAAAGCCAAGGTAGACTTCACTGCAGCCATCCTTTCAAAGTGGTGTTTACAAAATACAGTATTTACACTTAATGAATAAAAAGGGGTTTCAGGAAATAATGATTGTGTTCTCAAAACAAGAATGTATTGTTTAGAATAAGGTAAAGGTCAACTGTAAAGTGACTTGTATCTGGATTATCCACAAGGCCCTGTACAAGGATAGAAGTATTAGCAATTATTATGGTTGATAGTACCACTGGGTAAATCTCAGTTCTCTTAACTGCATCCACATTTCCTTCACCTGCATCTTCTTGTCTCTTAGTCCGACCCAGGTAGGATGCCAGGAAAAGGTAAAGGAAGACCTGGTGAAACAACCTCATTTGTAGAGCGTACCAGAGAGGCCTGCTGTTCTGTCAGTGCATCACTGTGTGTATTCTCAAAATTTAGAAACTACAGATGAAAGAATGACATCTTCAAGACTAATATTTAAAGTTAAGTACAGAAATAACTCTTCAATATCAATATGAGTCCCGTGACCCCGTTTGGGACTAAGTGGTATAGAAAATGGATGGATGGATATCAACATGAGTTTGAATGATTTGCTAATGCATAGAAAATGCTTTGGTGTTGCTTTAATTTAATTTTTGTGTAATATATTAGCCACAATAATACAGACATGTTTAAAACAATGCTTTAAACGTCCCTGTGGATTTCTCAGGAGAGAACTGTGCTGTCCAGTTTCTTCAACATTAAGATTAATCAAAAAGTCAGACTACCAGTGCAAAACAAACACCGCATATTGGTTACTCCACAGAGTCATCCAGGTTTGGTGAACTGACTGCTGGGTAATGTACTGTTGTATCCTGTGTTTTTGTGCCCAGCAGACAGTCACAGTACGTTCGCTTTTGGATGCGCTGGATCATACGGCGACCGTAGAAGTCCCGATAGTCTGCTGGAAGTTCCTCCAGAATGTGGAGCGCCCTCTCTAGGGCCTGAAGGGCTCGAGTTGCAGCGACTGGGTCTTTATTACCATATGGGTCCTTTTTGTCATAGCTGTCAGGAGGTAGATGACGCCAGAACACATTAACACCCACACCAAACCGCAGGGCAAGGGTGTTATGGAACCACAAGGCTGAGGAAATAGAGGCACACTAGATTATAGTCTTTCTTATCTGACAGCTTTACTGAAATACTGAATTTGTTTGTGTGTTTCACAAAAAGAAACGGTTCATGTGGACAGCTCTCCTTACCAGGGATGAAAAGTAGATCTCCTGGCTCGAGCACACACTCGTATCTCTTTGCTCTCACAAACTTAGGAAACTGTTTCAGATCTGGGGCATCAATGTCCAGAACCTCTGACTTATCACCTGATGTGTTACCATCAAATTAAAAGAGGTGTTGTAACATTATAACATAATATTGAAAAACACAAAAAACATATATGTATTCAGTGAAATGGCATCCTTATCAGAGCTTAACATGAAAATGGGCCAGACTGGACTGGACACAGGCATCTTTCCATAGCTACGTGCCTGACAGGTAGAGGTGGAGTGCATCCTGGGGACTGTAGAGGACTACTCTCTTCATCCCTGTCACCTGAGCCAGCAGGTTATCCATCACCTGAAGGAAATATAACCCCCATAGGCCAGAGGAGGGAGAGCATATTGAGGAGGGTATATTGAAAACTTTGAAAATGTACTTTGATGAGAGAAAAAACTTACACTGTACTGCTTTGGATGGGCTCTGGTGCCAGGTAATGTACAGAGACAACTTGTTAATATCAACCTCAATGTTCTAGAAGGGTGAAAATTCACCACTCCACTGCAGAAGCTCTATACAACTGACATGATGCTATGCTTGTTCAGTTATTTTAACTTCAGAGGGGGACTGAACATGAACTTATATGTTTACAGTCATTTCTCCAACCTCTGTTGGATATTTAATAGCACTGTAAACTGTCACAGTTCCTAACCAGCTTTAATAAAACATTCTCACACTCACATCGTAGTGTGTCCACAACTGCAGACCACAGGAGCTGATGCGGAGGACGCTGGAGAAACACTGCTCTTGTTCAAAGAACGGTGGGATATTAAAATCCTCTGCCAAGTCTGGGAACTGTTTGCTCAGATCAGCAGGTTCCTGTGAAAGAGGACACACCTTTTCATGCACATAGAATGATCGGTCCAGAGTCTGTTGAGTCAGACTGGAGCCATTTTTCCAGTTTAAATATATAAATGTACTGAAGACTGCGTTTTAATTGCAGCAGGGTCTGAAAGGACTTAGTCATCCAATCATCCAAATACCTTGCGGACATCCTCTCCCAGTGATCTGAGATAATAGCTCTCATCCTAAAATCAAACCAAGGGGTGTATCATTAAATGAATACAACATATTGTATAAATGTTAAAGCATATCCTTATTTTATTTTACATACCTCACTCAGGAAGAAGTTGGAGTGCCTTTTCTCCGATGCCCTTTTCACAAATTCTCTGAATGGCAGAGTCCTGTGAAAATGAGGAGTAGCTTAGAAATCTGCATGAAAAAGAGCAGTGATTTGTTTGGTTGTGTGTGTAAGAGCGAAAGAGAGAGCTCACTTGTACACAAAGTTTTTGTGAAGGAAATCCATCTGTGGCACTGTAGAAACATGAATCTTCACTTCCTTGTCTCCTCCTTTCTCTCCGAGATATCCAACCGTCCACTTCTCCAGGCATGGCCCGAGACACACACCTCTCAGCACGGTTGGTCTGCGCTGGAAAATGACACTCATCAGCTGTAGACCCAGGCAGCGGCCAAGAGAGTCACTCCAAAGTAGACTACATCATTTCAGGGACAGATTATAGTACGCAAGGCAAGGCCCTAACGTGCTGGATGTCATGCAACATTGAGAATGCCAGCTGTTTAAGAAAAGTTAAAGCAGTATTATGTGTTGCTGAATATACTTTATACAATATACGAAGAACAACACTAGTCACTGCGGGTATTAGCCTATGTCTCTATTACCTTAGGGTAGATCTCTCGGAGAAACACCTCCCTGTTTACTTCTGTAAATATCGGCACAGATATCTTTTCCTGGAGCTCCATTTAACATCATTTGTTTCAGAAATCCTTCCACTAGTAAGACTAAACAGCTCCCGGACTTCAACTGGTGTTACATTGTCAGTGTTCCTCTTACACAACAACAACAACAGCATAAAAATAACAAGTGGAAGTTACGTGCTAAAAACAATATAGTAAATTAATTAAAACATTATGTGCTAGTTTGATGGACATTAAAATAGCGCCTTCACTTTGTTATTTTGTTGCACATCTATCTGTATTATCATAGCATGCTATTTGTTCCTCTCCGGAAGATAAAAGTAGAAGGACACAAAGGCCTCCGATGGGGATGGGGGTTGAAAGATAAAAAGATGGCGCTGCCCATGTTAAGAGGTTGTTACAGATTTCCATTAACATTTAGCTTTACTCGCCTGTTTTTAAATGAAAGTATCCCCCTGAACCGGTTCGGTAAAACACGATTAACGCCTCCATCAGCTGTCGTTACGGAAGCAGCAGTCCGCCCGTACAGCTCCGACCAGGGAGGGCAAAAACAGAGCCAGAAGCTTATGGTAGTCGGTATCCCGAACCCTTTCATCTGGTTCCGCACGCAGATTTACTACTTTCTGATCAGAGCGTACTTCGATAAAGAGTTCAACATCGAAGAGTTCACAGAAGGAGCGAAGCAGGTCTGGAAAACCCGAAAACAGATGAAGAATGCGCTGCTAGTTAGTAGTTAATCCATTAGTAGTTAGCTCCAGCTTCTCTGGCAGCTAACTACTAATGGATTTGGCCTTGTTAGTGTGTCATTTCCACGTTACACCTTGTTCATTTGATGTTTTGTTCACTCTCGCAGGCCTTCTCCCACGTTTCCAGACTCCTGTCACGGTGTCAGTTTGAAGCCTTAGAGGGGCTTGTGGCTAAAGACGTGAGTATGGGACCGAGCTAGTCCAAACCTTTACTGCCAATCTTGTATCTACACATTCATGGATGCCTCCGTCTCTCCTATGCCAAAGATATGGCAGTTTTATACTTTTAAACCCACAAAGTGTGAAAAAGTGAAGGGGTCTGGGTCCATGCAGAGCCTGAACACACACCCCAGGACACATCAGATATTTACAGTACGCAGGTCAAAATGTAAAGGGATGATCATAGTATTTGAGGCAGGACTTAAATGTTTAAATCGTGGGTAGAAATCTTAATCTTAATTACGTAGTTTATCTGTAGAACAGCCAACAACTTCCTCAGGGTGTGTCTAACTTACAAAAGTGGTTAAATAAAAACTATAAAGAAACACACAACCTGTAAGGTATGACCATGTGTAAGAGCTGCTTGGATACAGAGTCACAAGTCAGACAGATTCAGAGTTAACAGCCTGCTTGGATACAGAGTCACAAGTCAGATTCAGAGTTAACAGTGGAGGTGACACAAATGTGGAAGGTTTTCCTCAAGAATTGTACATAGAAACAGGTTTTTAAAAAACTGTTCTATTTTGTCCTACAGGCCTGTTTGTGGGACAAGCCGATGACTGAACACATAAACTGAGTTAACAGAGATTAACTTAATTTTGCAGTATTTTGGCATCTGACTGTAGAAGTGTAATGTCTCTGTACTCAAGTTCAGCTTGTCTTATTTTCATATCCTTACAGTTGATTGGAAAACTTGAGGAGAAGTGCAACCTGCTGCCACTGAACTACAAGGAAGCCCTGTCTGCAGATCCTGATGAGATCATGTACACAACACCTGGAGATGTGGGAATTTATTATGATGATAATGGTCAGCATGAAATGTATTATTGTGTTAGCACAATATCAGGTAGACATGATTTTCTTTTAGTGTCATTGTTGCAGCATTAGTCAGTGTACATACTGTTTCTCCAGGGAGAAGGTTTGTCAGTATTCTGATGCGTTTCTGGTATCTGACAAGCGCACACCTTCCTGACAACACCATAGAAGGAACTCGCACATTCCATTTGGCCATTGGTGGAGAGGGAGAAGCAGAAACAAAGAAACTGCTAAGTGCAAACTATGAGTGAGTATATCTGTCTTGTGCAGATTAAATACAGAGAAATCTTTGTATGACTGACGATATTCTCTTCAAATCTGTCTTGTTGGCTTGTTTTTCTGACAGATTCCAAAGGGAGTTTACTAAAGGGGTGCCCCCAGACTGGACCATAACAAGGATAGAGCACTCCAAGCTTTTGGATTGAGGTGCCTCTCTTTAGTATTTGGTTACATTAAACTGAAGCTAAAAAATGCTCAAGATTGGAAGGGAAAACGACACGCAGCCCTCAACCGGGCGATCAGAGGAATTCAATAACACAAACCAGAAGTTCCCACAGAGGCTGCCCACAACTGTCTGCAGCATGTCACTGTTTCCGACTGTGTTTTTACTATCTCTAACATTCAAGAAACCAACGATTACAACCTGACTACTTTTGTCAGGAATCCAGCTAGAGAAATCAAATATTATTTTCAGATACATCATACCCTTATTTTAACAGCTGTATAATGACAGATGGGTGGGTTTACTGCAAAGGACTTAATAGTGAGATCAGATGATTTCAAAAGGCTTTTTATGATGGTCCTGATGTAATAAATACATCCAGTTTGATACTCCAAACAAACACCGGGGTGACTTTGTCCTGACACTATCTATCCCCAGTCCGATGAAGAGATTGAAACACAGACATGTAATTTATCAGCCTTGCTGCACACACTTTCATATATAAATGAAAAACAGGCAAAGAGTTGTTTTGACATAAAGGGAATGGAAACTCTTCCTGAAAGAGAACATGTTTTGTGTGGAACGTGTTATTGGAAACTTACAACTTCATTGCCTTTATTTTTGAAAAAACTTCCTGTGTTTCCAAGGGGAGAAGTCTTCTTCCTCTATGAATGACTGTGTGGTATAAAGGTAATATGACTCAGTGTGCCAGGTTTTGTCTGCACACAGTATTTGACCTTTTGCAGTCACATCTCTTGGCCCCTCTCCATCACTCTGAGAGAGTAATATACTGTATGTACTTAGTGGACATGTGTTTGTAGTTTTTAAGGCAGCTTCATGCAGCTGCAGCAGACCTTAGTTTAATTAAAGACTGAAGAAGTATGTGCTATACATTTTCAGTAATATTTTGTACACATTTATTGTTTATATATGTACACAGTAGCAATAGAAAGTATGTGAACCTTTTGGAATTACCTGGTTTTCTGCTTTAATTGCTCATAAAATGTGATCTGATTTTCATCCAAATCATAGGTATAGACAAGCTCTGCAGCCAAGCAGCTCCAAATCTTCATATCATCCTTCAGCTGACTCTGATTCTCAATGAGCATTCTGCATTGTGCCTTTGGGGTCATCTTTGATGTGCTCCCACTTTCAAGGAGAGTAGCCACTGAGCTAATCATCTCCATTTATACACAGTTTGTCTAACTGTGGGCTGATGAGTAGCTAAACAATTTGAGATCATTTTGTAACCCTTTCTGGCGTTATGCAAATTAGCAAGTCTTCTGCCAGCACAGCATTGGTCTGAGGTGTGATTCACATCAGTAGAGGCTTCAGGTGAATAGCAAACTCAAACTGTGTGTTTGTTAAAGCTCTAAGCCACACTTCCAATCTAGTTTCATTGATTGGACTCATCTTTGCTATTTCCTGACTCCAGTTAACTTTTGCTAGCATTTCATTAGCATAAGGGTACACATACTTCTTTCTACCTACAGTGTGAAAGTTTGAATAATTTATACAATATGGGCATGAACAATGTATTGATTTATATTAAATAGATTGTTTTTCCATAATTCCATTTTAGATGACTTATCTACAGTAATATTTAATTATATCAATTATATAATTCAAAAAGGAACGTACTAAAAACATAGAAACCATATGAAAACCAAATCAAACTTTGCTAAATCTACTAAACTTAGCAGCGCGTATGACTTCCTGATCTATTACGTGTCTGTCGATATTTGCGCTTCCATTGGCCCATTATCTCAATTTTCTCTTCTTATTGGCCGAGATGCCTGCCAATCACTGGTGTTTTGTGGTATGTAGTTCCTGCTGCGAGGTTTC